GGACACCTTGAACGACAATTTCCATGGACACTTTTTGCTGTGAGCTCCATTTTGTCTGACCTTTTGGTGCGCCTGCCCGAGGTAATCCAGACTCTAGAGACAACTCTAGAGGAGCACAGGCCCTGACAATCTTCTTGGTTGCAAGAGTCAACTCTCCAGTTCTGGCATCTGGTATATATATGTACTAGCACGGAAGTCAAAAATCGGCGCAATAGCGCATAGCTGTTTTTACGTCAGTTTGTGTTGAGCAATGTCTTCTTTCATCGCTTGGTTTCAGCAAGTTTTTGGCTTTTGTACTACCAGGATACCAAGGCCCATGGACAAAAAGTAGTTGTCTGTGTTTGGGCCTTGGTTCTCAGGGCTGGGTCTTGGCTTTCCCAAAGCCCAGGTTTTTTAAAGGCAGTCTGCCTAATCGCGGGGTAGGCGGACTGCCTGCTAAACAGTGTTTTGGCGTGTTCAAGTTCACCCAGTGCAACATGTGATGTCTGTGCAAGGCACACCATGGCAACTTGCAGGGACTTCTCTGCCCAGCGTACGTTTCACCTTGCACTTTGCACCCGCGGGGTGGCGCTGGGTGTGGAGCAACCAGGCTAGGCCATTGTGGAGCAACCAGGCTAAGGCCCAAATGGCCGAGCGAAAAACTGGGCAGGCAGGTCAGTCTGAGCCCGGGAAGATTTTTGCAGAAATTTTTTCTCCGCCCAGAATGGTATCTATGATGATTTCAACACTGAATTTGGCTGTTCTCATGCCAGCTGTGCTGTCCATCGATTTTTTGACGGGGTTCGATCTACGAATGCCCAATGTGAGAGCAGAAGTCATGCAATCTTTGAAAATGCACCAAATCCAGGTGGTGGTTCTGAGCCCTCCTTCGCAATGTTTTCCCAAATGATGCGAATCGATTTTGGGAAAATGAAGAAAGACGATCTCAAAAAAAGATGGCAGGATGCAATGTGTTTTTGAATTTCACAGTGGAGATCATCCACTACATGCTACGCATCGGTGGCTTTTTTGGTTTTGAACACCCCATTGGTGCTTCAAGCTGGAAGGTCCACTGTCGAGGAGTCACTGCGTTTACCCAACATAAAAAGAGCCCGATTTCATCAGTGCCGCTTCTGATTGAAAGCGCCAATCAGTAAGAAGCCGATTCGAAAGCCCACAGCTTTTTTGACCAATTCTCTGGAAGTTTTTGCAGCATTTGGCCAGAAGCTGTGTAAGTGCAAAGGCGTTCAGCCACACAGGGTCATCGAAGGAATCGAAGGGAAGTACTGTTTGTCCAAATGGTGTGAACAATACCCTGACGGCTTGTGCAAAGTCCTGGCCCATAGCCCAAGCAGAGAAATGGAAAACACGAAGAAGGCTGAAACTTAGGAAAGATTTGTTTAGCTGAGACAAAGTTCAGCCGCAGAGGTGGAAAACATTTCAGCCGCAGATTTGCAACAGACTGATTTTTTGATTTGTGAACATTTTTTCATTGGAACCCAACTTTTGCATTGAATCTGTTCTCTGAATCCAAGATTTGGCGCAACCGGACCTCCACTGAGTGAGGGGGGGATTGGAATCCAACTTTTTGCATTGAACCTTTTCTTTGAACCCAAGATTTGGCGCAACAGGACCTCCACTCGGTAAGGGGGTTTGCGCCTATTTCGCCAGAAGTGGGCGCAAATCCTTGGGACTATGAAGGTTTTGGCGCAACAGGACCTCCACTGAGTGAGGGGGGTTTGCGCCAAAACCTTGGGAAACGTATGGGTTTGCACCCGCTTCGCCAGAAGTAGGCGCAACCTCACGTTGCGCCGGTTTCTGTTTCTTTGTCATCCAGAACTGAAACAGGTCGGAGACGGTTGCTTTGTTTGTTGAGTGAGTTGATGTCTTTAGCTTCCATGCTGCCCATAGCCTGCGCGAACCTCAGAGCTGCTCCTGGAGACAAACTTTTCGCTAGTGACGCATCCTCCTGGGGTGAGGCTTCAGTGGTGGCTGACATCCCTACCCAGGTGACAGATCAGGCATTCTTCACACAAGTCCGTTTGGATGCGATTGCTGCCTCCTGGACTTGCTTGTGCGTAAGATTCTTAGCCCCGAGCTAGAACTTCCTGACAGCGCCGAAGTCTTCCATATGAACCCTATTTGGCAAGTGCTGGCAACTAGTCCGCAGTTCAGATTGTTTCACAAAGAGAGGAGCGCTTCGAGTCGTCGCTTCAATGTGGGAGAGCTCTTGAAAGCCGAGCGGAAAGCAGGGCTGGCAAATCCAGTAAGCCGGAGCCTTTTCGGCCTCGATTCTCAGGTTGTCCTGGGTTGCGTCGCGAAGGGACGATCCGCGTCACCATCGCTGAACCGCGAGCTCGAGCGCAACGTTCCCTATTCGCTGGGCCTCGAACTCTATTCAGATCTTTGCTACTTCGAGACGAAGTTCAACCCAGCTGACGACCCCACCCGTGGGAGAGCCATCCGACCTTCGTCATCCCCTTTTCGTTCCTGGTGGCATGGCTTGAAAAATGGTTATTTCCCAGCCTTTGACATGTGGTGCAGTGCAGTTGGCTTGGACGCTGGCCTCCTGAATTTGGGTGAGCTTTTGGGTCCCACAGTTTCTTCTCCGTTCAGCTCAGCCCCACAGTTTTTGGCTGAACCGATCGAGCAGACTGACATAAAGCTGGAAGAAAGGAGAGGCTTGACGAGTTCTTGCTCACTTGTGGAAGACTACAGTGATAGTCAGCTTTGTTGGCGTTTTCGGCCCCCTTAGCTCTGAGGATTTACGAGCCGCGCGAGCTTTCTTTGTCCGAGTTGCGGAACACGGGCAGGTTTTGAAAAGTGCTGATGCTGAATGGCCTCCTGCAGGACCTGGCTATTTGGATCTTTTCTCTGGCGCCAAAGGAGTGGCGAATGCGGTTCGCTCTTATGGCAACAGCTGGGTTATCACTTTCGGGCTGGCAGACGGACCCGAGCAAGACTTATACGTTCCCGAACTGAAGAGCGAGATTTTTGCGCTTTTTGGCACTTTGATTATTTTCAAGTTGGGGAGCTGCCCCTGTTTGCTCTCGTTTTTCCCAAGCTGTTTGGCCCCATGTCCGAAGCCTTGACGAGCCTTGGGGTGTCGCTTCTATGGGTGAAGACATGAGAAAGAAAGTTAGGGCTGGAAACGACTGTGCTATCGGGCTCTTCAAGCTCGTGGAGCTTAGTCTTTTGCTGGACATTTTGTTTTGGGTTGAGAAGCTTGGCAGTTCGTATTTGTTCAACTTGCCTCCTTGGAAGCTACTAGCAGAAGAGTGGATCGACTACTGTCGGTTCGGCGCTTGGCGCAAGCGCACCAAGTTCTTAACGCCGGACTAAGGATGTTTTCGACTGTGCCTCGGCAAGCGTGAGCACCTGCAGCTCCGCGGCCGGAGTCCTTATCGCCGCCGCTCCTGGACAATGGTTGCCAAGGAATATCCTAAGGGAGTACCAGAAGGATAGGAGAAGCCAAGCAAGTGGATCTTGATGCCGCCCTCTGGTTGAAGCAAAGACCCAACCTCTTCAGCGTTTGTAGCTGGTTCATCAACTGGTGTAAGGAGCGAGTCTCCCCTGCTCTAGCTGACAGCTTGAGTGAACAACCAGTCCTTTTAGTTCTCTTGGTGAAGGAGTTCGGGAAACACTTGTTTAGTTCTGGAAAGCCGCTTTATGTGCTTCGTCGCCTGGTGGTCATGGTCCAGAAGCAAGTCTTCGGAGCTCGGAGCTTCATTTCTCCTGGCTGGGAATTGATTCAGAAGTGGGAGGATCTGGAACCGCCATCGCATCGCATCCCGATCCCCCCCGCGTTAGTTAGAGCCATGGCAGTTACTGCTTTGCAATGGAACTGGGGCCGATTTGCCTGCGCAGTCTTGATTTCTTTTTTCGGGATCGCCCGCCCTGGCGAAGTCTTGAGAGCGTTCCGCTCTGACCTGGTGCTGCCATCGGATTTGATGAGCGACGAGGACTCTCCTGCTTTTCTGCAAGCGCGATCGCCGAAACCTCGGCGCAAAGGGCCGGACCCAGCACGCCACTGTCCACGAACCCTTGGTCATAGATCTTTTGGAGTGCTTCTACAAAGACTTCAGTAGAAGAGAACTGTTGTACGGCATTTCTCCATCCAGTTTTCGCCGAAGGTGGGGTGCCATCCTACTGCACCTAGGTTTGGGCCGGCGTGCGAAGCTTGCCACTCCTGGAGGTTTGAGAGCGGGAGGAGCTGTGTTTGAGTACAGACGAGGAATCGACCTGCAGCACCTGATGTGGCGCATGAGACTGAAGCAAGTAAGCGCTCTTGAATCCTACTTGCAAGAGGTGGCTGGAAGTTCCTTTTTAGCTGAGCTTCCCTTATCCGCCCGGCATCGCATTTCCTTGATTTCCAGTTTGTTCGATCATTTTCTTTCGGTCATCGCTGCGCGTGGAGCCCGATCTACGGCAAAGTCCGTCTATGGGCCCTTCAAAGACCAGCGCGGACTGCTTCCTGCTCCAGCCCGGTCATAGGACCCTCTTTCTGTTGCAGATCTAGGATCTCCTTCTTTTTCCTGGATCGATCCGACTTGGTACAGAGACAACTTCATGTGTGGCCGAGAGCTCAGAAAAGCAGCGCCGGCAGCGCTAAGAGGGCGGTCAAGGAGTGTGATATATATATATATATAAACATCACTTTCTTTTTGAGCTCCACTTCTCGCGATGTTTGTATCCGCTTGTCGGCTGGAGGGCAAGCAAAGCCGAGCCAACAAAAGCACACTGGATAGTATGTGGAGCCCAGCATGTGCTATTGCAATATTATCTGCTTGGTAGACGAAATCCCACTTAAAAAGGTGTAAGCGGCTCGAGTTGACTCTAGCGTTCACTGATGTAGAAGCGCCGCAGGAGTCGGACAGTGAGTACTCAGTAGACCTGAGAACCCCGTCCATGACAAACATGGGGTGCGCTTTGTTCAAGCACAAGTCTGAGTCTGCGCAATTTTGTTTTGTAGAAGCTCAGTTCGCAATGCATGGAATGAAACATTTTGACTCATTTGCCAGGAGCGCGCCGCCCATGCAAGGGAGACGGCTGAGAAGCGCCACGTGGATGAGTAGGGTGGCCTGACATTGCTGCGAGTGTTCTCAATGTTTTTATCATTTTCTTTCCTCTCCTGCACCTCTTTCAGACGTTCTAGAAGAGGCTGAGAAACGTTTGCGCGGGATGTTCGGTGACTGACCTCAGGCAACCAAATCAACAGTTGTTTCTTTGGGTTCATTCAGCTCAGTCCATGTTTTGAAATTAGACACAATTTCATGCCAGTTAGTACACAGTTTGGGGTCAGGATGTTCTGGATGGCACGTAGACCAGCATGTTCCCAGCGCCACTGCGGGCCAAGAACTGGAGAGGATGCTTTGCCAGATTCAGCCAGGGACTTGGATTGAGGGGTTTTTGAACCATTGAACAAATGCCCACTCACTTGCAAACTATGCTGGGAACCCAAAGGGCAACCTTGCTGCCGAAGCATGGCTAGAAGAGCATTTTCCACACTAGTCAAAGTTGAGAATTTCGGAGGGACGGTGGTTGCATAGGCCTTATAAATGAAACCTCTCTACTAGGAGCAAGGACGCTACTAGGGGCTCCTGGCCGTACTACTAGTAACAAGGACGCTACTAGGGCTCCTGGCATCGCTACTAGGAGCAAGGACGCTACTAGGGGTTCCTTGTAAAACCTCTGATTCTTTCCCGAGTGTCTATGAACTTCGACGATCTACAGCCACGGGTCATCCCAGGGCCCAGCCTTTGCCATGGAGAATGCAGAGCAGGCTTGGCCTGGGTCGTCAAAGGCACCGTCCTGTTGTGGAAGTCACCCAACAATGGCCATCATGCAGAGCAACTTGATGTGTGTCTTTCGAGGTATGATATGCTTGGTGATTCATGATGATTTAGGTCTCATGGGACAGCTGCAATCCTGAAAGCCGAAAACCCTGGAATTATCAACCCAGAGGTGCAAACAAGTTGGATTGTTTTCAGTAGTGGTGCAAACTCATCAATGTCGCGTCCTTTGTTACCACAAGCAGGGAGAACTTCAGGTGTTCGGCAGCAGAAAACATGCGCCCAGGATGATGCTGTCGATGATCTCTTGGGGGATCTGCTGGCCGTGGCAAAGCCCAGACCATTGACTGGTCTGTTTTCTGGAAGGGCGAAAACTCCGAGAAGACACGCGCACACTTCCAAGACATATCCGCAAACCTTTCAGGGCGCAGGGACCGCACCCACGCGGAAACATGAAAAGCACTTGATGCAGGTGGCCAACAGGGGATGTTGAGCATAGGGTTTGCAAGTGAAATGCTCTCCAGAATCAGTTTCATCGCACAGATATTCAGAAGGTCCTTTGAACTCACTGAGCCATTGAGCTGCAAGATTTCGATGACCAGATTCACAGATTTCAGATTTCTGGTCTTTCTTCCGCAATTGGTTCACGCTCACAGAGCTTGAATTAGTAGTCAGTCTACACAGATGAAGCCAAGTGGCCACTTCCAGATGAGAACTTCTCCGTTTCCCATCAGATCATTGGGAGGCCGCCCAAGTCCTGACGGACCGAATTTCGCTCAGGTTGAAGAGACTTTCGAGGTGGGCCCTGTCCAAGGCTAAGCTCAGCGACGACTCTGAACGGGGAAAGAACGATGGTAGCGATAGTTTGGACAGAGAACGCACACCTAACTCCAAATGAACTGGCATGTTTTTTGGAGGTGTTTGGATCAGGAAATGCGCAATTGTTCCCTTGCTCTGGCCAATCGGTTTTCTTGAAGATTGATTTGAGCTAGATGAGTTGTGAGAAACCCGTTTTCGCGTTTCATGTGTGAAAACAAAACATGTGCACGCATTTCAATTTTTCCAATGACGCACTGGGGTCAAAATATGTGTTGAATGTCTCGCTGGAATTAGTAGGTCCTGCTGACCATTGCTGACCTAATTTTGGCTTCAGGGGAGGGCAGAAAGCAACTCTCCATGAACTGCATGTGATTTGCATGACAGCTTGAATGCAAAGTCACGGACCATTGGCTCTTTGATTGATCTTCGATACATCCCGGCTTGTATTTTACGGACAGCAGCTTGCTGTTCAACTCGCTTAAAGCCCCTTGGACAGCAAAAGAGGTGTGGTGGATAGGAGGAGGAGGTGGAAGAAGAAGTGGTTGGGCATCATTGGTGCTTTCAAACCCGACCCAACGACGACCCAATGACCACCCAACGCCCACCCAATGACCACACCGAGGCACTCTCAGAAAAGATGTGTGCTCGTTCAAAGCCTTCCATTGAGAAGGGAAGCAGCCCAAGCCCAAACAAGGACAGACTTGAGAGGTTTGCGGTTTGCGTTGGTCTTTGACTGTTTTGATGCGTACAATTCCGTTTCAAATTCGTATTGGGGATCACTGTGCTGAAAGTGCTCAGCGCGGTTTTGTTGCAGGCTAATGGCACTTACGTTTTGGAAGAGCAGCTGCAGAAGCTATTGGTTGGCCAAAGTCACTGGCAGGCACGGCCATCCTTGTGGTCATGCTACTTGTCTTTTGGAAAGACCAGCTGATACGGCATGGACCAATCTGTTTTTTCCCAGCATTTTCCATCGAAATTCTGCTCATGTCACTTGGGCACGTACAGGTCCACGCCAAAGCCTCCCTGAAGTTGCTTTCCCGCCGAAAGCTGCGCCTGTCTGGCAATGCCCCTTGGTAAGCGACAGGGGCCAACAGGGGCCGACAGGATCTGATCCGAAACCTCCAAGCTGTGCGTACCTTGGAGACGCTGTGCTCAGGTGCCTCCGACTCCAACACCTTTGCCGCTGCCCAAAGTTTTGCATGCGAAGGAGTCCAGGGTTTTCTCAAGAGAATTCAGGCCACAGCTCATGACCTGACTTTGTCCAATTTCAGGAGGACGGCAAGGAGCTTGTCGAAGAGCTGAAAGACTTCGACGTCAGTGGGCAATCAAGCAACAACTCGTTCAAGAGGCCTTTGGTAAGGGTGGCCATTGGCCCATAAGGGTCCCTTTTGCAGAGAGAATGCGCTTCAACCGATTTCAACATGCTCCAAACACCACAGTGCACAAATACTACAGAGGAGAACCCCTATTTGACCTTCAGTTGCCAAGACCAAGAGGCAGGAGACCTTTGGTTGAGGACCAAGAGATCTCCCCCGTCAGACTGTGTGCTCAACATTCCTCAACTAGGAACAATAAGCTACTAGGAACAAGTGCCTCGCTACTAGGAGCAAGGGCCTTACTAGTAGTAACAAGAAGCTATTAATCTAAATTGATTTAGTTTAATTCTAAAAGTTTGTTGTTCCTACTAGTAAGGCACTTGTTACTACTAGCGAGGCACTTGTTACTAGTAGTAACAAGAAGCTACTAGGGTCACATCTGCGGATGGTCCCAGGCAGATCTCTGCGCCTGCCGCTGTGAAGTTGACATTGGCCGAGGCATGCTCGCAGGCGCCAAAGTTACTGTACTCATCAAGGATTGAAAAGACTTTGGAAGGAACATGGTGGAACTACAAAGGGGGTTACACGACATGATAGTGTTTTTTGTGCCCTGTAGCCACTGTAGTCCCATAGATGGAAAGAAGAGGCACAAACCTGAGCCGTTCATGCGTCCACTCGGGGCCAGGTTGCTCAAAAGCAGGCGAAGGAAATCGAAGAGGTGGAGCCTGAGGAGAGCCGAAGGGGTCGAGCACTGTTGCTCCAAAGTCACTAAGACGACTCATTTGGTCAAATCCTTTTGAGAGTGGTGCCATACGGTAGATGCCCTGCTGATGTTCTTGAAAACATGGCATCACCTGCTTTGACTAAACTAAGCAATGGTTTCTGCATCGATGCAGGAGCGCCCTCCCATGATGCGTTGGCCTCTCAGACACCCAAACATGCCCCCATTTGACTTGAAAAGGACACATCAACTTTATCTTAGGAGCAAGGACGCTACTAGGAGCAAAGGGCATCGGAACTAGGAGCAAGGACGCTACTAGGACCATACTTTGAACTGATCGGCTTGCACTGAGGCCGCGAGACGCGGGCCAATCTTTTGCAACACGCATCAACCTGCCCAGGACTGGAAGAGTTGTCATAACCTTTTTTGTAGAATCTCCTCAATAGATTTGAGACACCAGTTTTATCGAATGGAATGACAGCAAAGGCAATTCTCATGTTCTGACGGTTCCTGGGTCCCAAGCCACTTCCTTGCTTGCCGCCCCGTCAGGCTATGGTCGGCCGACCCTTTGCTTGCACTTCGAGTCAAGAGAAGAACTGGAGCTGCACTTTCAACAGAGATGTACAAATGACAATACAGCTTACACCACTGGATTGCCATTCCTTATCATCCCTTTGCCTTACACCAAAACCGCTCAAAGCCTACACGATCCTACAGTAAGCGCCCAGACGTCGTGTATTGATCTTCACCTACTGGCTTCTTCATGGCTTTGGCCACAATTATATACAAGATACACTTAGACCATTCTACCCACAACACGGAATGAAAGTGCCTTCGGAGCAGAAACGAAAGAAGCTGCAAGTGCCACCTGGATCTTTCAGACGCTGAGTGAAGTTGAAAGCATGGTGTGACGAAATAAATCGTGGATTTTCAGGGCAATCAACACCTCAAGCAGGGCAGGCTTGCTCGAAATATGGAGCACCCGATTGAAATAGATACATACCCTTCCGCGTCTTGTGTGGTGCGTTGACTGGCAACCGCTACTGCCAAAAGAAGAACATATGGAGGAATAGATTATAGAAAGTTAGACTCTTGCGTGTGCTGTTGCATGGGCGAAGCTACTGTACTTCCTTTCCGTTCTGTATGTTTGCCGTAGTCAGGCGGGGAAGATTGAATAGCCAGTATGATTCGAGGGCATGATTCTCCATGAAACCGCGTTCTAGCACATTTTTTGAAGGGCAAGATTTCGAAGGTATGAACTGAGGTTCAGTTCTTCGCCTCTAGATATATGGGTCCTGTGCACCTTGAAATGAAAACACAGATGCTTTATATTGAAAAAGCCACCAAGATTGATGACTGGCCTGATGAAAAGCTTCCAGGGCTTCAACACACATGAGAACATGCATATTGTCTATATATATAATAAATAAAGAAATACACATATATATATATATAAATCGCACAACGGCAACCATACACACACACACACCAGATCATACCCCAGTCGGTGGAAGCACGGCTGTGTACATGTGAGCCGACTTAGGATGATTCCGAGCTACTGGCCTGAGTATGTGATCGACATGTTCCAAAACGCGCGTGACATGGCAGAAACGAGGACGACGTAGTGGGGATGCGGTTGCAAAGGATGATAGCACCAACCCAAAAATGAGGTAGAACCTCTCCAATCCATGAGATGTGTGATTGATTGCTGTCTGATGCAGATCTTTTTTTTTCACACTTATTCTCACCTGCTGAGCTTGAGGTCTGAGTGAAATGCCTTTTGTGTCCTTCACCGAGAGTCACTGGCGCTTGCTTTGTGGCTCTTCACAGATGCCACACCCGCAGAAGGCCGGTTCGAAGTTAGGGCATCAAAATACGTCCCTGGCTGAACTGGAGTCGGCTGTTTCACTGAGGCCTGTCATGATTTTTGGTAGGATCGGAGGTGGCACGCGAAAAATCCTATTCCATGCTTGGTATTGGAGGTATGACGTACCCAGAGCATTTTCTGAGATTGAGCAGACAGAAATGCATTTCACTGGGTAGGGCAAAGCTGGCTCGGTCAGGCTCTTACAGGCGGCGAAGACAGTTTGTTTGTTTGCCCCAATGGCAGCGCCGCAGGACCGGGATGGGGTTCAAGACTCTTCAACCCCCCTCTCATTGGATTCCATTCACGATATTCACGTACTTGATTGCGCAAAGTAGTACGTCAAAGCTATCAAGACTAAGTTGGAGGAAAACTCAGTGGTGGTTCGAGTGAGGAAATTTAATGCCGTTTAGTAAAGGTTTCTTTCGATTTGCTGTGCAACTTTGACTCACCGCGAGCCTGAAAGCGAGGAGTTGCAGATGGTGTGGGCGAATGGCAGTGGCGTTTTGGTCTCGACCCGCGAGCTTTCGCGGATGAATTGATGTCCGGGTCTCAATGCAGAAACAGGTGGCCAATCAAAAGCGCATGTGTCTAAGCTTCGAACGAGAAAGATCTGCAGCCCCAGGAATGGAGCGAAGACTGCTGGTGAGCAAACACAACACCAGGTGCAGCCGAATGGGGGCAAGATCTTCATAGGGTTGGGGGGCAATCAGTCTTGCTGTGTTACAGTGAGTGGATGCTTGGCCTGGGTAGGTTGGAGGCCATCGCTAATAGGTTAGAGGCCATCGCTATTTTGGAGACCATCGCCATTAGGTTGCTTTCTAATTTCCTATATTAATATTTGTCTTTTAATTTGCTAATTTCTTTTCTAATTAGGTTGGTGCTTCTCCTTTCTGCGGAGGTGGGAATGAAGGCCGCCATGCGTGCTCAGTTGATGCTGTCGGAGGGCTATCAGGCAGGTTTGGCGGGGTTCGAGATGGGAGGCTTGCAAAACCGTATCAAGGAATGTTGCTTCATAGGCTTGGATAGGTGTTGTTTCGGTTTAGGTTCACCATAGACAGAAGTGATGGCATACATTTGATGAATC